AAAAAAAAAAAAAAAGCTGTTGGTAATTTGAAGTTGATACACAAGATCAAGTTTCTAAAGCAGTAATTTTTATCATTATGTATAAAAATTATTTTTGTAATTTATTAGACATAACTAGCACTAGTAGATTCTTTGAAAAGGAAGTAATATTCTTTTCTATTAGGTTTTTTATGACTCGTACAAATGTTAACTATTTTTCTCTGCTTTTTTTGTATAGGACATAGCAGATCCGTTCTTTGCTTATTGTAAACAACATGCAGATAGATTAGACAGAAAGTGGAAGAGAAAAAACTACTTGGCTCTACAATCCTATTGTAAAATGTCTTTGCAAGAGAGAGAGAAGCAACTATCACCAGAAGCACAGGTATAGGATTCATGTCAAAACCCGTATGTTTTTCTTTTAAGGTTATGTATGGATTTTACATCTCATGTGTGTTTTCCAGTGACATCTGAAGTATAATAAGAAGCTTGGTTAGTTGTCTAGGAAGTGGATTGTGATTAAGGTTAATAGTGAGTATAATTTTTGGCTGAATACAGTATTCCTCATTTAGTTAACAGAGCACTCCTTTATGAAGTATAATTTCACGTTGAAAAATGTGGCTGTGAGGAAATTATTCTATCAGTACAATATATTTGCTACATCTTGTTTCAGTCTATTCAAAGGATTTGGTCAGTTTGCCTATATTTAAAATATAACTTTATATACATTAAATCTTTGGAAACAGTAGCAGCTATTAAGAAGAGAAACTTCAGCTTAATGAAATTAGTTTCTCAAAATTCTGATTATAAGTTAGGACAATTGTTGCTAGGGGTAGATCTAGTTTATTGTAACTCAAGAATTACACAGTATACTGTAAGGATCATTCAAACATATAATTTGCCTTGATATAAGAAGTTTTAATTATCTTTCTGTAAACATGGGAGTAAAAATCAATATAAAAATCATAAGGAATATGTTCCATTTTATTATCTTTTAAAATTTGAATACATTTCTTTTATAGGCAAGGATCAATGCCCGACTTCAGCAGTATCGTGCCAAAGCGGAGCTAGCTCGATCCACCAGACCCCAGGCCTGGGTTCCAAGGGAAAAATTGCCCAGACCACTCACCAGCAGTGCTTCAGCTATTCGTAAACTTATGCGGAAAGCAGAACTGATGGGGATCAGTACAGATATCTTTCCAGTGGACAATTCAGATACTAGTTCTAGTGTGGATGGAAGGAGAAAACATAAGCAACCAGCTCTCACTGCAGATTTTGTGAATTATTATTTTGGTCAGTATAGACACTGATACATGCACACTTTTACTGAGAACAATTTGTTAATGAAAATATTTGGTAATACTGTTAATTTTTAGAAATGTATTAGCCATGTTACATATATCATAGAAGAATGTTTATTTTCCTAATATGCTGTGAGTTTTTACAAAATGCTAGGTTCATTTCTTTGTGAATATACTTAAAAGTTTTAAACTATGTAGGTTTATCAATGTGGTTATCTCTATGGCTAGTTTCTTCCTGTGTCAGCTCTTACTTCTACTAAAGTAAATTTGGATATTTCATTTAAATAGAGAGAAATATGCGCATGATTCAAATTCAGGAAAATATGGCTGAACAAAAAAATATAAAAGATAAATTAGAGAATGAGCAAGAAAAGCTTCATGTGGAATATAATAAGGTAAGTTGGCTACAAAATATGCAACATAATATAGATCTTACTGATGTTTTTTTGTGATTGTATGGCATTTTTTATGTGTTATTTTTAAATTCTTCTGGAGCTCTTAGGCTCTTCCCTATAGCTCCTACTCCTCATTAGATTCATTATCATCGCTGTCTCTTACTGAGTACTTTATGTGCCAGGCATAATTATGATCTCTTTACATGTATTACCTCATTTAATTCCCATCTTAACATGTAGATTATAGTCATTGCTTCCATTTTCAATGGAAACTGAATTCTGAAGAGGTTAAATAATTTGCCCAGGTTCACACAAGTAGTCAAGTCACAAATGGGGGTGTGAGGCCAACTCATCTGACTCTATTCTTTATTTCTAATGAATAAACATTACTATAGAGCTTCACTTTCTAAGTTTGTAGAAAGTTTAGAAACTTTATTATTTTTCTTGAATTATATTTTAATATTTGGATAAAAAAATTTCTGAATTTGAATTTTCATGTATCTCTTCATCCTAAAGATGAGAAAGATCAAAAAGAAATATCTTACAAAAGCACAATGTGGTAAAAATGTCATGCCAAATATAACTTGAGCACGTAAAGCAGGTACTGACTTATTGTTAGAAAACATTTTAAGTCATAAAATATTACGAAGTAAGTTTCCAATAATAAGCTACACTGTATAGTAAAAAGACTACTTGGAATTAGATTCAAAGGACCTGGGGATTCTTGCTAGTTCTGTGATCTTGGCCAACTCACAAAAACTCTATGATCCTTAATTTTTTTTCATTGGGAAAATAGTAGAAATACATCTTGATGGAGTCATAAGGATTAATTAGCAGAATGTCTGTGATGTTATATAGCAAACTATAACAGAAGATATAAACGTAATCATTGGTAACAGCAGAAAACAAAATGCTTACAGCTGCAAATACTGCTGAGTAATTGGATAGCCTTGTCTCTCAGTGGTATTGTGGCTTGAATATATTAAAAATATATGGAGGCTGGCCGCGGTGGCTGACACCTGTAATCCCAGTACTTTGGGAGGCTAAGGTGGGTGGATCATGAGGTCAAGAGATGGAGACCACCCTGGCCAACATGGTGAAATCCCATCTCTACTAAAAATCCGAGAATTAGCTGGGCGTGGTGGCAAGCGCCTATAGTCCCAGCTACTTGGGAGGCTGAGGCAGGAGAATAGCTTGAACCCAGGAGGCAGAGGTTGTAGTGTACCGAGATCATGCCACTACACTGTAGCCTGGAGACAGAGTGACACTCTGTCTCAAACAAAACAAAACTGTGTGTGTGTGTGTGTGTGTGTGTGTGTGTGTGTGTGTGTGTAGAGAGAGAGAGAGAGAGAATAGAAATTAGATATTCTTGGATATTTATTGATAAATTACTTAAATTGTCAGATATTTTAATGAAGTTTACTAATTTGACTTACTTTGTAGTTATGCGAATCTTTAGAAGAACTTCAAAACCTGAATGGAAAACTTCGAAGTGAAGGACAAGGAATATGGGCCTTACTAGGCAGAATCACAGGGCAGGTTAGTTTCTTTCCAATTGCTATCTCCTTCAGTTCTTGCTCTCTATATGATTTTTGAAGAATAGATTTTTGATACAACTGTCGCTTTACTAATTGAAGAATTCTGTTTGATCAGGGCCTAATCCTTTGGGATAATGATTTCTGCTTGAAACACATCTAGAGCATTGGAAGCTGCCTACTGAGAACCTCTAGTTTAATTTGGTTGTTTCTACAGCTATCTTGTGTGCAGATTTTTTTCATTTGCTCTAACTGATTGACCTGTCATTAGTGATGAAGCTAAGATTTGAAGCATGAGTCTTTCCTACTACATTCTTCTTTTAATTTAGCTGCTTTAGATTTCCTTGCCACATTTTTTTTTCCTATTCTTATGCTGTTTCTTTTTTTTTTTTTTTTGCTATTCTTTTGATTTATAATTTGTAATGTAAAAGGCAAACTAGAGAAATTTGTTTTTACGTTGATTTTCTTTTCAGCTGTATAAGAGATGGTTTTTAAAGCTTTAATGTTAAAATGCATTTTTTCCCCTTCAACAGTAGCTGTGATCGTAGTTCCTAAAAAAGAAAAAAAAACTTTATTCTTGAAGTCCATTAGTCTATTAAAGATTTTGGTGTTGAAAAGAATATTATTGTTAGATGGATTTCTTTGAATGCCTTTTTTAGTACTGTGTATATAATTGATAAATTAAGATTTTTTACAAATAATTTTTATTACTCTTTTTTGAAGGATGATAGAGACCCACTGTTAGTGGTCCTTTCAAACAAATAAGTAGTTTTATTTGTGAAGGCACTTTTCAAAGAACAGATTTTTTTATCACACTTGTTTTAGATGTTTATGGAGAGTCCAATTCATCACACAACTTGTATAGATATTTTATGAAGTGTTACATACTGATTTGTACTGTGCTATACTAGCTTTGATGATGCTTTATGTGATCAGAATGGCTGCGGTTTATATCATAAAGAATATTTTAAGAGGTGAGAATTAGTAATTGCCTCTGGAAGGATCAGACTTTGTTCCTGTTAATAGGTTGGTTGATGGATTTTTGGAAGATTATGATGTTTTATACTTAATATTTAGAGAGTTAATATTGAATATAAGGCTTTAGTTTATTTGCCAAGCTAGCATTATCTTTTGGCTTGATTTGCAAGTTTCTCTCATAAGAATCTCCTGCTTAGTGTAAAATATTATCTACTATAAAAGTCATTTTCATTTATTAAAAGACCTTTAACAGAGGTTTGCAAATTTCCTTTTGCAAACGTAAAATACACAGCAGAAGTAGAATTCATTTCTATTGTTTGTATGATACTTTTTTTCAGTTGGTTGAACAGATGTGGGCCTACCAGGCCATTGAGAAGTGACTTTGATAGATGGTTGCTGTCTGAGAAGCCAGCATACTACAGATTAGTAGAAACGCAAAGAGAATCTCACTTGCTTTGTTGGAGAGTTCAGTCCAATAAGATAATTTTTCTAATTAACCTATGGAACACCAATATAGCTGGGGTGCTGAAGAAAATAAATTGCTTCAATATTCTTTTTGTCAAGTGTACTGTTTTTTTTTTTAAACCTCCTACATATGTGTCTTTGTCTGTCAAAGCTAAAGTAGTTTAATTTTCATAATGTTTTAGTTTACCACGGAAAATTGATGAAAGTCTGTAATTATAGATTTGTAATGGAAATAGAACTATTAGAAAAAAGCTCACTTTAATCCTTTTTGCCAATGTAATACCTGTAGCTGGTAAAGCAGATTTTCCCCTAATAATCCTACTATATTTAGTTGGTTTGAGTGGCAATTAGAGGAAAATGTTGCTTTTATTTCTTCCTTAAAACCATATATACTACATTTGTTCAAATCAATAGAAGTTGAATATACCGGCAATTTTGCGAGCACCCAAGGAGAGAAAACCAAGTAAAAAAGAAGGAGGCACACAAAAGACATCTACTCTTCCTGCAGTACTTTATAGGCAAGTAATGAAATTAATAATGATAGAATAATACTGTGTATTTTTTTTAACTGATACTTATTAGAAAGAAGATACTGCAAGTATTTGAGAATGAATTATGTGCATACCCGAATTTAATTTAAGTGCATTTGAAGTTCATTTTATCAAAGGTACATTCCAGTTTGAATGATAGAGGAGATTTTTGTTGCTGTTATAATAAGATAAATGACTTTTTGTGTCCTTTAAGTTTAGGCAGATATGTCTGCCTAAACTCTGTGGAAATGAGCAGTTCTCTTTGGGGAATTGAAAAATTACTGTAGATAATATTATGATTATTGTCTTAAATAATTAAAATAATATAACAGATGAGTATTTTCATTTTACTTGAATGAATTGTAGAGTTTCTATTTTAGATAGTGATGGTTATCATATACTTACATAGAATGAATCTCTTGCCTTTGTAGATAGTGGATAATAAAGATAAGTTTTTGATTGGAGTTTCTACATTTCTTTCTCTTGCTGCTCAGTTGCAGTCACTTTGTTTGCCTAAGTATTTTTGTCTTTTAATTTCTTTGCTCAGTATTTTCAGTGTTCACCATTACAGTAATTTTATTGTAGTAAGGACTTCTTTCCATAAATAAATAGGTTGCGATCTCACTTTTTCCTGCATAATTTATATTAAGTGAGAGTTTAGAAGATGCTGGTGTTTCTGTGTGTGTATGTATGTGTGTATATACATGTATCTATGTATATGCATACATATATGTTATGGATGTGTAAATACATAAATGTTCTTCTCAAAACCTTTTTCTCAGAAATAGTAGCAATAACAGCAATATCAGTCTCCATAACTACTTTTGGTTTTTTGTTGGAGGCTCCCTCTACAAGTAATAGCAAATAACTTCCTTGAAATGTGGGAAAAGCCCACATTGTCTTAGTGTGCAATGTGAACATTAGCATATTCTCAGGCCACCTATTTCAGAAAGCACTGTTGGTTCATTTGGAACTATCAGACATTATCACTATGCTTCTGACTTTTATGACTACAATTCATTTTCATTTCAGAATATATTTTAAGTGATTTTTCTTTTTTACTGAGACCAGGCACTATTTATTTATTTATTTATTTAGGCTTTTTAAGTGTGTGTGTGTGTATAACTATTTTTTCTAGGAGTTAAAAAAGCCTAACCATCATTGCCTTCTGTATATTCTCAATATAAATATGCTTTAGATTTTCAGGTAATGGTACTTATGTATGTAGGTGTGGTTGAATTACCTTTTTGCACAAGAGAAGTTAGATTTCTAAGAAACAAACCAAAAAGTCCTAAAATAATAGTAACAATCACAGAACTCCGCAGTCTTTGTAATAACTGTCAATTGGGGTGTGCGTGTGTGTGTGTGTGTGTGTGTGTGTGTGTGTATGTGTGTGTACAGTGTGTGTGTTTTTTTGTCTATCTCAACAGAAGAAATATTAAGTTAAATCAAGATGAAATTTTATAGTTTGAAAAATATGCTGTAAGTAAACTGCGTTTCACTATGGCAGTTATTGAAATCTTTATTTGCTACCTTTATTAAAAGTTGTGGGATTTGTAAGAAGAACCATGATCAGCATCTTCTTTTATTGTGTGATACCTGTAAACTACATTACCACCTTGGATGTCTGGATCCTCCTCTTACAAGGATGCCAAGAAAGACCAAAAACAGTTACTGGTGAGTAAAATCAGGAGATTTACATGTTTGGATTGATTTACTCTTAGTTTCAGCAGTAAAAGATGAAGTATTATATTTATTCATAATAAAGTATTTGTCACATTTTAAAATTCACTGTCATCAATATTTATTATAACGTGACTAAATCTATAACAGCTTTTTGAGAAATGAAGTTTTCATTAATTGTGGCTATTATCTTAGCAATAGATTGTTCTTTACGGCATGAATTGTGTCTATTGTTTATAATTCTCTTGTTTTATTGTTAGAATTTCTCAAATGCCTTATTGTTATTTTGAAATTGAATGAATTTATTTAAACTTTGCTATCATATTTATCGTTTTACTTGCAATTTAGTATTTTTGGATTAGTGCCAAAGGCTTTACTTGGTATTTGTGCTAGTTATTTAAGTTCTACCATTCTTTGAAATCTAAAAACATTTGACAAACATTTCTGAATTTTTTTTAATTAGGCATATAAAATCACTACAAATATATGATAAAGGTTATGGTATCTATAATGAGTTTTATCCTTTTCTTAATTTTACTCCAAAAAAGGGACAGATGTTCAAATTTCAATAGAGTGATTTCTTATAGGAAGGAGAATATGGGAAATGGAAAACTTTGGAATGAACATGAATATTCTTTTTCTACAAGTAACCTTTCCAGTTTCAGGAAAGAGTGAACCCTGAATTTTTAAATGGTAATCTCTGCAAGAGGTTGTGTGTGTTCCTCAAATACATTAGGCATATATTTCAACCTCATTGTCTTACTGCTTAAGACTACCTCTGTTCATTTGATTAGGAAGCAGAAATTTGTTCACACTTTTCACAGGATTCCTTTTTTATAGTGTTCTTTTATCAGTTTGTTTTGAGATATTCACACTGGCCTGTTCTTTTGAAAGGCTTCAGAAACTGGTGTAGCATATTCAAATGCCAACAATGTTAATAAGCGTCCTGGCTGGGTTTTTAAGTTGAAAGCTAGTTTGGTAGTCTCCAGAGCCAGGATGTTTTGCCATGAACTTATATGGAAATAGGCAGTTTTCTCCTTAAATGAGGTTATGGACCCTCCTAATACTGCTCTGCCTTCAGAGGTCTCGTTTCCAGTGTGTGAGAGTTTCTGGATGTACTTCAGATGGAAGTCCATAGCCTATGCACTCAAAAAAAAAAAAAAAAAAAGAGAGAAAGCATGTTTTTGCAAGCCACAAGGAGGGAGATGATGGCCATTATCCTCAGTGAATTAACCCAGATACAGGAAACCAGATTCTGCATGGTCTCACTTATAGGTAGAAGCTAAATATTGGTTACTTATGGATATAAAGTTGGGGCCTACTAGACTGGGGAGGGAAGGAAGGATACTCTTGGATATAAAAGTGGTGCCTACTAGAGGAAGGGTATCAAGGGTTGAAAAACTGGGGTACTATACTCATTACCTGGGTGACAGGGATCATTCATATCCCAAACGTCAGTATCATGCAGTATGCCCATGAAACAAACCTACACATGTACCTCCTAAATCTAAAATAAAAGTTGAAATTATTAAAAACAAAATAAAAGAAATAATGTTTAAGCGAGAGCCCTCCTAAAAGAGCCTAAGCAATTTGGAGCCTTTTCATTGGTGTTAGTGGTTTTAAAATAAAAGTAGAAGTTAATGTTGTAGCATAGTGATGCCTTTAATTTCTCCTTGTTTCTACTGATCACATTTCCTTTGGCCTCTAAGATCAACCTAGCTTTGGTTAGCAGTTAACTGGGTGTATTAATTCTGGAGTGTGCAAGATTCAGAGAATTACATTTTTTCTTTAGTGTGCCTCAGATGTGGGAGAGTTTTTAGTTTTTGCTTTTTAACATGTTCTATTTATTTTTGAAGTTACATTACAGATAATAAATATTCAAAACTTAACACTTGTAACTTTTTTGCTACATTTTACTGTTACCTATGCTTTTAAAGTCATTGAAGTCTGTTGTATCTGGATGGTTGAAAAAAAATGATGTGCAGGTTGAGTATTGCTTATTTAAAATGCTTGGAACCAGAAGTGATTTGGATTTTCTGTTTTTGTTTTTGTTTTTTTTTTGGAATATTTGCCTTGTACTTACTGGTCGAGCATACCAAATCTGAAAATCCGAAATCTGAAATACTCCAATGAACATTTTCTTTTACTGTAATGTTGGTGTTCAAAAAATATTTGGATCTTGGAGCACTTCAGATTTTGGATTTTTGTATTTGGGATGCTCAACCTGTGATAGTTGCTACTATACACCCTTTTCCCATCCTACATTCTGTGATGCCATGTTAGTAATTTGAAATTGCCATGGTTAGGAGTATTTGTACTATAGAAATTAGTAAATACTACATAGTAGGGCTTTCCCCACAGAGGGTCAAGTGTTAGACATTTACTTGCATATTGCTGACTGATTTCTGCTTTAGACTCTACCTTGTTCTTACTAGTCCTTTTATTAGGGAAAAGGTCCTTTAATTTCTCTTTGTTTCTAGTGATCAAATTTCCTTTGATCACTATCGGCCTGTTACTGGACCCTTATTTGATGACTGGGCTTAAACTTCCACAGGTCCTTCTGGTATAACATTTCTAAATGGCCAGTTGATTTTTGCTGTCTTTATGTTCTGCACACCTGTGATAATACCATTACTACTGAATACCCTTTAAGCAAACTGTATCTTAATTGATATACAATCTGTTGCCTTTTCAGATATCATTTCTACTTGAATGCCTATTTTAAGCACTCGCTATCCAGCCTTTTCTTCCAGTACCAGTACTGTTTTCATGGAGACACTAGTTCTAGATTTGGATGTTTTCTGTTCACTCAATCCCAGAGGTCATTGGGCTGTGCTGGGCAGGTTAAGACATGTGACAGCAAAGAAAAGATGGATACAGATACAGAAATAATTATTGATGGAGGGTAGGGAAGTTGAGTAAATGCACCTTGGACAGGCTTAAACATTTCAGTGAAATAGCAGGCGTCTATTGAGAGGGAAAAGACCTGGGATGAAGATGGACTCTTGAGAAGATAGCAGATGATTGATAACAACTTACTGTGGAAAAATCAAACTGACTTGCTGAGGCCATGTAGCAGTAATGTTTAGTGCATAAGTAAATGTGATTATTTGATTTTTCTTGAATTATGCTCTGCTGCCCAGAAGAAGGAGAGGGGAAAACCTAGGGGCTTCTTAAGTTGGGCTAGGGATGTGAAAAGCTAGTAAAGAATATTAACAGGTGGGTGAAGAATTCTGTAGGGAATAGAGGCTAGTGATGGTGTGATCTAGGCTCTGTTTTGTTTGTATTTCTTTAAAGTATTTAAAATGCATTTTGTCTTATTTTTAGTTTATGTTATATTGGCTTTTGTCATTGCTGTTTTTAAAAATATACAATCTTCACACTGCCTTAAATTCTAAGACATGTTTGGTAGGATACTAATGGTAAGTGCTTGATTTATTAGAGTAGCTCAAATAGTTAATATCTCTTAATTTTCGAAGATTAATGTTATGTTTCCAGCTGCATTCATTTGATTGGAACTTGTGTTGCCTTTTCCAATTGTTTGAAGAATATTACTAAACACATTATTTGACAGAGAATTGAGTAATATTATCATATCCTTTTATTCCTTGGATATGTCTTTATTTTGTGATGGAAAGAAAACACAAACCCTTCTAGGAATAGTTTACAGAGATTTTTTTCCTTTGTTATCCTTGATAATTTATTCATTAAAATTTTTTTTATTGCCTCTTCTTCCCATTAACTGCTGGTAGGAATTCCAGCACTAGAATGGAGCATCTTTACTGTACATGAAATAACAGATATAGATCTGTTATTAAAGTTTTATACTGGTGTTACAACTACAAAAAGAATAAAATTTACAAATTGAGTTAAGTGTTGTTCTCTGCTCCTCAAAGAGACACCCATAATACAGAAATAGGGGGGCACTGAGGTGTTACTTAACTGAGAAGAATGATATTTGAACCACCTGTTAAAGTTTTATATAAGCACCTGTCAAGCCTGTCCTCCAAATACAGGAGAAAACATGGCCAACAGCTTAGATAAAGCAGGTGTGGGATCCTGAGTTCTTGGTGACTAAAAAAGATAATTTGTGGAGGAGAAAAAAGTAAATCATGAATTATTTGGAGTACAGAATGTTACTAGATTTATTGCATTTAAAGATTCATAAAATCCTTTTTTCTTTAACTTACATGAATAAAATTCTCTAAATTAGTACACTTTCTTGTCTGAGCACTGTTATACATTTTTCTTTAGTAATTATGATTTTGAAATCCCCACTGGGTCATCATTCTGATTATAGGTTGTAGTTGTATGGTGCTAGAGATGAAAAAGGTATAGAAAATTGAGAAAAGGCCAGATGTGGTGGCTCAGGCCTGTAATTTCAGCACTTTGGGAGGCTGAGGTGGGCTGATCGCTTTAGGTCGGGAGTTGAAGACCAACATGATATAACCTTGTGTTTACTACAAATATGAAAATTAGCTAGGAATGGTGGCAGGCACCTGTAATCCCAGCTACTCAGGAGGCTGAGGCAGAGAATTGCTTGAATGTGGGAGGCTGAGGCTGCAATGAGCTGACATTGCACCGCTACACTCCAGTCTGGGTGACAGAGTGAGACTCTGTCTAAAAAAAAAAAAAAAAGGAGGGAGAGAGAGTGGAAGGGTGGAAGGAAGGGAAGAAAGAGGTAAGTAGGGAGGAGGGAGAAGGGAGGGAAAAAGGAAAGGAGGGAGGGCCTTTCTGTAATATAATTTGACAACTTCTCTAGCCATCTCTGTTTTGAAGGCTGTTGCATTTATTACAAGTTACTAATAATATCTAACATTTCTGCAGTTTTCACAGTTTAGTTATGTTAATAAATTCAGAATATACTTAACATTTCAATTCTGAGATCGTGTAAGGTGTGTATTTCTCTTACCAGTCCTTGATGTTTTCCTATAGGACAAATACAGGAGCAATTTGGTTGTATTTTTGTTTGATGATAATCTAACAATCTAGGGAATAAAGTGCTAGTTACACTTACATGAAATGTAGCAATAGATACATAAAAGTTTTCTGAGTAATACATTATTATGTACATTTTTATTTTGCTTTCACACATCAGTTTTTTTGGTGCTAAAATTTTTGCTAACCTATTCTTAAATAATTAGGAATTCTAAGATATTTAGATTAATTTTTATTTTAGGAATAATATCTTTGCATTAACAAAACAACTGGTACTTGGTTTTTAACTCTGTTGTTGGAATTCAAAATTTAAAACTGTCACTTTGACAGTTAAATATTAGTTTAATAAGTTTACAGTATTAGTGAATGAAAGATGTGAATTTTGATGGAGCGTGAAATCAAATCAAATCTTTGAAAATACTTGCTATGAGAATTACAAGCTACTTTTAAAGGTACTGATAAACATATATAAACTGAATATCAAATACAAGTTTACAGATTATAATCATTTTTATTAAGAAAATACCATCAAACTTTTGGAGAATTCGCTTTTGATCGTTCTTTTACATTTGAAGCAAATATAAATAAAAATTTAACAACAGTTTTAACTTTTTGAAATGGGCCTTGACTGGCAATATGAAGATTTCCAGCAGTCATTGTTTAGATTTCTGATGTCTAAATGTTAGCCACTAGCCACATATGGCTATTTAAATTTAAATCAATTAATATTAACATTTGAATTTTTCTCAGTGGTGTTTGCCACTTTTCAAGTGCTCAGTAACCATCTATGACTAGTGGCTATTGTTCTGGACAACGCAGATACATAGGTAATCCTACTATTAGAAAAGGTTCTATTGGATATCACTTGTCTAAAGTTTTAGTTTCAATTAATTTTTAGTATTACACATATTAAAATTCTTTATAAATGCTGCTTTAATGAATTCCTTTAGTAAATAAATATTTCTTTTTTTAGAAGTAGTAGCAGCCACCAACTAACATGACCTTTTTTTCCCCCAACAATTCTCAGAATCTGTTTCTGTAGTTCCTTTTAGTATATTCAGCACAACTTGTCATTGACTACAGTTAAAAGATATAACTGTGACAACGAGTAGTGTTAGAGTCCATGAAGGGCTTCGATTTTCAGATATCACAGTGTATGTTATTTAAAGAGAAGTCATCCTTTCTAAAGGTAAACTATTATAATTATTATTGAGACAAGGTCTTGGTCTGTCACCCTGGCTGGAGTGCAGTGTTGGCGATCATGGATCACTGCATCCTCGACCCCCTGGGATCAAGTGACCCTTTCACCTCACCTTCCTACTCAGAAGCTGAGGGGAAAGGGTCACTTGATACCAGGGAGGATACCACCATGCCTGGCTAAATTTGTATTTTTTTTGTAAAAACAGGGATTCATTATGTTGTGAGCAATCTTCCTGCCTCAGTCTCCTGAAATGCTGGGATTATGGTTGTGAGCCACTGCAACTGGCAAAATCACCTTTTTAATCAGTGTTGAATCTCATCTTTGTTCACTTATATGGCATTGTTAAATGTGTTCTTATACTTACAAGGATACATTAATTTGCCTTACATATTATATTCACAGTAGTCATTCTTAGAGGAGTATTTCTGAATGTTTATTCATTATGTACCCTGTAATCACATTACCTGTGTATATTTTTATATATTCTTCTTACATACCTGGATTTTGTATTTATAAAAACATAGCTAAAGCTGGAAGGTAATAATAAATACATTATTTTAATTTTTCCCCTTTACGTAGGCAGTGCTCAGAATGTGACCAGGCAGGGAGCAGTGACATGGAAGCAGATATGGCCATGGAAACCTTACCAGATGGAACCAAACGATCAAGGAGGCAGATTAAGGAACCAGTGAAATTTGTTCCACAGGATGTGCCACCAGAACCCAAGAAGATTCCAATAAGAAACACGGTAATTTATTTTTTATTTATCATAAGCATCATATAATTCTGAGGTGAAAATTTAAGAGATTTTGGCCTCAGAATTCAAACATATACTCAGGGCAAACATATAGTCAGAAGTTAAAGAAAAAGACATGTATATTACATGTAATATAGAAAAATTTATCTTTCTATATTATGAAATATACCACATGCTTGCCTGAGTGTTTGTAGTTTATATGTTGTTGAAGACATAATAATGAACACACCAGCACATCCACCACCCACCTTAAAAGATGGAATATTCCCAAAGCTTTAGAATTTTCCTGTAAATCCCTCAACAATCTCATCTTTATCTGTCTAGCCCAGAGGCTGCTTCTTTATTCAGCTTTATATTTCTCATTCACTACTTTTTCTTTATAGAAGATATTTACACTCTAAATTTATGTATTTATAAATAATACATGGTTTGTTTTTGCAGTTTTTGAATTTCATGTGAATAGCATCGAATGTTTTTCTCTGATAATTTGATATTTTGACCAAAATTATGTTGATTTGATTCAGACATGCTGATTCATGTAGTAGTAGTTTATTTATTTTCACTTGTGTATAGTTTTCTATTGAAAGAATAGACCATTACCTAGTTTTTCTTTTGCTTTGTTGATGGGCAATTAGGTTGTTTTCATGTTTTTCTATTCTACACAACTTTGGGGTATTTTTTATTTTTATTTTATTTTTTAAACCAACTTTGTGATTTTTATTGATGGGCGACAACTTTATACTCCTATGTATCACTGATCTGTGTACAATTAGGGATGCACCATCTGAGAAGAGCAGACAGCAGAATTAAACAGAGCAGACTGAAGAAGAGATCAGTCTTCATTGTTTGCCCATTTTTCATTATGTGTACACAGAAGCATGCTTGCGATTTGAAACCTTTTAATGGCAATAAAGTAACAATCACCCATCTGTGTAGACTAACATTTTAACTCCAGATATCTGATTTGCAGTGTGTATACAAGCAGTTTCTTTCCGCACAATAATTAAAAATTTTTCGGCCGGGCGCGGTGGCTCAAGCCTGTAATCCCAGCACTTTGGGAGGCCGAGGCGGGTGGATCACGAGGTCAAGAGCTCGAGACCATCCTGGTCAACATGGTGAAACCCCGTCTCTACTAAAAATACAGAAAAAAATTAGCTGGGCATGGTGGCGTGTGCCTGTAAT